TAGCGAGACTCGAACTGTGCAAGTTCAGCCTGTAATCTCGACACATTAGCCACTAAGTCACATTGAAACAAGTGCCCTTGGGTCATAGAGCAGGTGTGAATTCCATGGAAGGCCTGACGGCCCTTTCCCACATCGCATTCTGTGGTGAGATTGTCGATGAAGCAAAGTTGACAAGACCTATGCGAGCTCGAAACTACAGGCCAGTCTGGATGTTAATACATTTTGGGAAAGCAAGGTTATGTGAAATCCAAGGGTAAGGTCTTCTTTTATTATTGTAGGAAAATTCAACTACCAGCCCCATAATCAGCTTAGATGAAATAGGGTGAATACGTCTTAGTTACATGATCTACTGGCAGTCTAGACAACCGCATTATAAACAAGAAATTCATTCTCATTGTTATAGAAAATTCCCGACATTTTTCGAAGATATGAAGACCAAGATGGTGTGTCCTTTTGTGTGATCGCAGACTCCTTTCGTTGTATAGACGTTGTTTGACGTTGCTTGACGTTGTTTTCGCAACTTGATCATATTGGTGGGAAGACTTAAATAAACACACCTAGTCCGTAGTACATTGTATGCATGATCATATCCAAAGTCGGACTGTGGACGTGGTACATTCCAAGACAGCATGGAGTATGAAGGGTTTTGCGGAATGCCGCTCAAAAGGATTGTTGATTGTTCGTGAATAATGGTTTCTTCCTCTGACGATGTTCGTCACACGGTGGCGGTTGGGGGCGTTGGACGTTGAGTCGAGGTCTTCTTCGCGAAATTCAACAGACACAAGCCCGTGGCAACCACCCTCCTTCGGTATCCGGTGAGGCCAATCTTCGAGTTCCTTTCATTCCCCTTCTCAAACTAAATGGCAGACAGTTCAGTATCACTCTACGGAGGGATTCTTCGAAACCCAGCTTCTCTTCATGTGCCGACCGTGCATCTTGCATTTGTGGTCCGGACATGAGAGGCCGAAAAAGTCGTCACGAACAAGAGATTCCTCGAAACCCAACTTTTATTCGCATATATTAGTGTTTTTTGTGATTATTCGTGAAAAATAGTTTCTTGTGTTTAAGCATAATCAGCTCAGAAGAAATAGGGTGAATACGTCTTAGTTACATGATCTACTGGTAGTCTAGACAACCGTATTATAAACAAGAAATTCGTTCTCATAGTTCTCGAAAAGTCCCGACATTTTTCGAAGATATGAAGACTAAGATGGTGTGTTCGCAGACTCGTTTCGTTGAATAGACGTTGTTTGACCTTGTTTTCACAACTTTGTCATATATTGGTAGGAAGACTTAAAGAAACACACCTAGTCCTTAGTCCATTGTATGCATGATCATTTCCAAAGTCGGACGGTGGACGTGGTACATTGCCAGACAGCAAGAATTATGAAGGGTTTTGCGGAATGCCGCTCAGAGGAGCCCCTCACACTGCATCTAAATAAGCACGGTAAACATTGGAAAAGTGAAGGTGTGATAGGAGGATATAGGAAATGTGAATAGCCCAGGGCAGAATGGGAGATACCACAACTGTTTAGCACACACTTGGTCAAAGGATCGTCTTCACTGGTCTCTTTGACGGGTTGTTATGTGGTGCTGAGAATGACGAGACTCACTAACGATGCCAGAAGAGACATCTGGGAATGTACCACGTCCACAGTCCTACTCTGGAAATGATGATGCAGGCAATGGACTCCGGACTTGGTGCGTTCCTCTAAGTCTTCCTACCAACATGACCAAAATGCGAAAACAAGGTCAAGCAACCTCTACACTCCCGACATTTTTTTTCATTCGTAAGTTAGACAAGTCTCGCCAAGCCCTTGCCTGACTGCGAGAAAGTTATCCTAAACTCAACTGGTGATTCTCTCTTTCACGTCAACCGTCTTCATCTTCTCTCCAACTTCGTGGAAAGTTAACAGAAAAGGGTTCATTCAATTATCCTCCTCATCTGCCCAAGCCTGTCAAGCACCACTTGAAACTGCCAACTCACTTTCGCTTGAGCTCAGGCTACGGCTCTTCTGGGCTGTATGTCTGCACAATTCATTCACCATGGCAACTCCAACACACGCCATGCTCATTTCACTCTGTCGCACCGAGTGACCAGGTGTTTCAACCCTCGTCAGACTCACTTGTCCCGTCCCGACTCGACCCCTTCCTCAACCACTCCAGAACCTCGATCCTCTTCCTGACAAGTCTGGCTACATGCGGACGGACTGGTCGTTCCAAAAAGCACAATTCCCAACTGAAGGCACTGCATTTCGAGCAGTCTGACATAATTTTGTCAACGCGGATGCCAACATTGTGTACGCAATATTCCTCACTTCGAGTCAACTCTTATTTCGCCAGCTCAGCTCCCCTGGCGCTCGGTTTATAACATTCTTTCTCGGGGTTCGGCATTGACGTTAGAAGGAAGATGGGATTGTTTTTCTTCGCCTTTCTCGTCTTGCTCATAATATTGTATTTCCTTCTACTTATTATTGTCGTGAGCATGATAATATTAATAATAATCGCATCAACTACTACTATGTATATTAGTAGTAGTTTAACGGTGGCTGATGAAATACTGTTTTATTTACTTGAATTGCCGTATTCACTAAAATTGGCGTGGCATAACCCCATAACCATTTGTATGATGCCTTCGTTGAGCCAGCAACAAAGTTGAGTCCGACTGACAGCAGGTGGATGGGACCAGAAAATCGCATACAGGACCTGTGGGGATTTGTGTTGAAGTAGGGAGGTGGTGAAGCCCGGTATGTCGCCGTGTTGGGTCTTGCAATGAAAATGAACGAATCGGCCTCAAGTATTTATTGAAGGCAGAGTCGGTATCGCATGCCACTTGGCCAAAACTGTCACAATCGCCTACACCCCTCGCAAAATGTGATCAATCTAAGCCCGCTTGCTTGCTTGCTTGCCCAGCTGGCTGACTGGCTGACTGGCTGGCCGGCGAGATGGAGGGAAGGGTGAATGGGTGAATGGTTGGATGGATGGATGGATGAATGGATGGATGGATGGATGGATGGGTGACTAATTAGTTTGGAAGGCCAAAGTATAATGACTATTTTAATCGAAGGTATGAAGACTAGGATGGTGTGGCCGTTTGTGTGGTCGCAGTCTGCT